AGGTAAATGCCCACAGCCTGCAGTCTGTGCCCCGATCACCTGGGCCCCCAGCTATCCAAGAGCTGGAGAGGAGAAGCTGGCTGGGCCGGGGACTTGCGAGACTGGGCCAGTGCTAAAGACAGCATCCCTTCCCATGGGGCGGCATCCACACACCACCCCCTGGTGGCAGCCTTTGTTCATCATCTCTGCGAGCAGACACCCACCCAGCACCCAGAGCAGCACTAATGTCTGCACCTCTTCCATTCCAAGCGTTTCTTTCTTCTTCTCAAGAGCCCAACACCCCAGGTGAAGCCTAGCTCTCACACTGCAAACCCCCATCAGGCTTGGGTCCTTCCAGCCTGCGTTAGATCCCATTCCTTAGAGTCTCTGCTCTGTTCCTGGTCTCCCTGGTCCTGGGGCTGCCTCACTCACCCATTCCTATGCCCATTCAAGGGGAAGAGAGAATTCGAGGTGATCACTGGACGCTGGGCTGAGCTCCTCCAGCATCATGTCTCCTTTAATTTCACAGCGACCTCACAAGGGGCTCGACACCAGCCCTCTACAGAGGCACCTACGTGGGGAACTGGGATTCTGTGCAGGCCTGCTCAGCTCACACTCGGGGTGGTCTCCACCTCGGGAGGGCCTCCCAGGGTGAGCCTTGGCCCTCAGCCTGCTCATAGCCTGGGTGGTGCCGGATCATGCTCCTGTTCTGGCCTCCGCAACCTTTCTGGTCTGGCCTCAGCTCCCCTTTCCAGCCTCTACCTCTCCAGCCCCTTGGGCCCCACATCCAGTTACCCTTAGGTCTTCACCATTCCCAGAAAGCCTTGAGCTTTCTCTTTCAAGCCCCAGAGAGGCCCCACTGACCTCCCCAGGTAGAATAAAGTCCTTCAGCTGTCCTGTGGCTCCCTGCAGCCTGCCTCACTGTCTGGTATTTATTAAGCCTCTGTCACTGCTGCTGGTCTGGGGGCACCTCGAGGACATGGACGTATGTCGTATTCATCTTTCTACCCCAGACACAACAAGGTCAACACCCAGGGAAGGGCGCTGAAGGATTGCCTGAAGAGTGATCCCTCTCTTCTCACAAAGCAGCACGAGTAAACAGAAAACATCAGGGCAGGGCAGAGGTTACAGGACCGCAAACCCCACAGGGAGGGAAGAGTTTGGGGAGTGATTCTAGCCAATAATAAAGCCGTCTCTGGTTTCTCGGTTGGATCAGGTCCTTTACGAGGATTGCTCTACGAGATCCCTGAGGGAGGGAGGGGTCGGGACAGCACTCAGATAATCACAGGTTCCTACCTGTAACATGATGGCAGCATCATCCACCTTGTCCTTGAGCCCCTAGATTGTTGCAGTGAAACCTTGCCCTGTCTTTTGGTTGGTAGATGGACAGGTAAGCAGCCCTGGGCTTGCTGTGGCTCCTCCCATCTCCCCTTGTTCCTCTTTGCCTTCAATGATCATGCCAAACTCCCCCACAGCTGGACTGTTGGTGCCTGCCATTAGTGGTCAGGGGCAGGAAGGAGCGGCGGAGCGCATGGCATAGGTCTTGGATTCAGACAGACCTGGGTTTGGATTCCAGCACTGCCACCTCCTGGCTGTGTGATCCTGGGCAAGTTACTTAAACTCTGAGCCTCTGTTTCTTTGTTCATGAAATGAAGGTAACATCAATAATTAACTACCTTGAGCCGAATTGTGTCCCCTCCAAAAATGTTGCATGACATTTTTGTTGCAAGGATGGGGCGTGTTGAAGCCCTAACCCCGATGTGATGGTATTTGGAGGTGAGGCCTTTGGGAGGTTACTGGGGTTAGTGGAGGTCATGGGGGCGGCCTCATGGTGGGATGAGTCTCTTGCTCCCTTGCACTTTTCCTCCCTCTGCTGTGTACAGACAGTGAGAAAGAGGCCATCTGCAAGCCGGAAGGATGGCCCTCACCAGACAACGAATCCGCTGGCACGTTGATTTTGGATTTCCAGGTTGGAGAAGTATAGGAAAATAAATGTCTATTTCTGAAGACCCCAGGCTGTGCTATTTTGTTACAGCCAAAGACACTGACGTCTCAGTATTTCTGAGAATGGAATGCGCCTGGCACGCAGTACATTTTGGCAGAGTTGATGAGCTGGTGATCACAGTCTCTGCTCCTCTTCAAAGACAGACGGCACATGCTGGGAAGTAGCTGCCCACCTGGGGATGACACTTCCCAGCCCCTGGATCTGGGCAGATGGCTCAGTCCTGGAATCAAGGCCTTCTCAGGGTGCTTGCTCTGGGCTCCTGTAAAGCATGCATGACGAGCCATGGTCTCGAGGTTCAAAGGACATCAGGCTAAAAAGTGCCTCGTGATGTCTCAAGACTGAACACTTTGCTGTTCATGTTGGCCACAGAGGTAGAGTTCTGATATCCCGAACAAGAAGTCCCGTGGCCTAACACTGGCTGGCACAGAAAGGATCTGTTTTAAAAATGACTGAAAATGTGTCTGATGCCTGGGAAACCAGAAGCCCACCCAGGGCCAAACTCTGGCTCCACTTGCTATGTGACTGTGGGCAAGTCAGTGAACAGCGTGCCTCAGTTTCCTCATCTGTAAAATGGGGATAATGATGATCCATACCTCACAGGGCTGTCATGAGGGTGCACTGAGCTGATTAATGCATCAAAACTGCATGGAGGAGGGCCTGCAGCTCATGCGGGCTTTTTCCATCTGTGCTGTTACTGATGCTGCCATAATACATGTTATTCATCTTAAGAAAGATAAAGGCCACCCTGGCTGTGTAGGTCTTCAGAAATCCCCTCCTCTCCCGAAATGGAAGAAGGGCACGTTAAACCCTCTTTGTCTGGCTTACCACGGTCTTTCCCATTAAATACCTCTAAGCTCTGGCCCCTCCTGTCCTTCTCACTGACACCAAAGTTGCTTTTCTAAAAAACAGTGAGCATATTAAATAAGTAAATAAATAAGGGGGCACATGTTCTCAGGACCTCCTGAGGCTGTGTCATGGTTAAAGAAAACAAATTTTAATTTAAAAAACTGTGAGTTGTAAACTCCCACCCCCATGAATCTGCCATGGCTCCCCAGTGCCCAAGACTAAAATCCTGATCCTCAGCCTAAGATCTTAGGCCCTCTTCTTTTGACTTCATCCTGCTTTTCCACCCGTTCTTTCATCCCAGCTCCCCATTCCCCCTAGGTACTGGCACATCACACACTACTAACTTCCTACTATGCTACCATGTGGGCACAGCCGGGCCTTTGTGTGTGTGCTTCAGCTCCCTACCTCCCTGTGACACCTGTGGAAATCCTACACATCCCTCATGGCTCAGCTCAAATACCACCTCCTCCAGGTTGTCTTCCCTGATCCCCAGAGTTGGACACATCATAAACTCTCAACAATGCTTGCTGAATGAATAAGTGAATAATGGGATTGCTCCTTCCTCATGTTCCCACAGTCAGTGCTTGAACCCATATCATTCTATCCCAGGTGCAAGTTTCACATATCTCTGCTCCATAAGCCATGAGCGCAAAGGATCTGCCCCCTCTCACCTGGATGTTCTGATGAACTTTCAAGATGAAGCAAGAGTCCAAATTCCTAGCCCTCTTTCAAAGACAAATATGGACAAGTCAGATCCCCATCTTGAGATGACGCCACAATGACAAAATCAAAGATCACCGACTGTCGCCCGTGCTTGCTGAAGCCATCTAGGCCCCCTGGTTTTCAAACTGTTTTTAGCAACAGAACTGAACAATGTCAAATAATTAACAAACTTTTTCAACACAGAACTGATCTGCGCAAATAGCGCTTGGATCCCTGAGGCACCTCTGCAAAATTCCAGGGCTCCTGGGAACCTCTGAGGCTCACAGGCCCAGGCTTCCCCTGTGTTTTATACACAAGGATGCTGGACTCCCAAGCAAGGAAAAGCCTGGAAGGCACCCAGGGCTGTCCTCGGCCTGCTTCCTGTCTGCCCCCAAACAGCCTGTGCTCCAAGAACCTGGAGCTCCCTACATTTCCCCAGATGTGTCCTACAACCCAGCCCCCATCCACCACTCCACCTTCCCAACTTGCTCAGGCATCACTTCCTGCAGGAAAGCTTCCCTTAACCCTCCATCCTGCCCTTACCCGTGGGTGGTGGTAGATCAAAACCAAAGCCAGCACCCACGGGATAGCACCTAAACCTTACAGCCTAGGCAGGCGGGACCCAACCTTTAACTGCAAACCAGAGGCACAATGTGAAGAGGGCCTGGGAGAATTGCACCTGGATCTGATTTCAGAGTAAACCACAAGCCAAAGATGGGTCTTATCCAGCAGATACCTGAGTGGCCTCTGGTTGTAATTTAAAGTCAACAACAACAGGCCGGGTGCGGTGACTCAAGCCTATAATCTCAGCACTTTGGGAGGCCAAGGTGGGCAGATCGCTTGAGGCCAGGAGTTCCAGACCAGACTGGCCAACATGGCAAAACACCATCTCTACAAATACAAAAATTAGCCGGGTGTAGTGGCGCACGCCTGTAGCCCCAGTTACGCGGGAGGCTGACGCCAGAGAATCACTTGAACCCGAGAGGCTGAGGTTGCAGTGAGCCAAGATCGCAACACTGGACTCCAGCCTAGTGACAGGGTGAGACTCCATCTCAAAGATAGGTAGATAGATAGATAGATAGATAGATAGATAGATAGATATCAACAACAACAAAACAAATCAAGAAAATGTCCAAGTTTCCATGCATAAGGCCCCTCCTGCTCCTTCCCCGGCATTAGGGACCAGAGGACAGCTCCCCACCCCACCCCGGGACTTCCGAAGCCCCCTCTCATCTTGTCTCCCAACGTTCTCTCAGGACACCCACCCTCCAGCCGCAAGAACTGTCATTCCCCCGCCCCCTGTCCCCGTGTCATCATTGTCTGTTTCTGTGCCTCCCCCCTGAGCGGGGGCTGGTCTCTGTCCCTGCGGCGTCCCGCACGAGACCGGGCGCTGGAGCCCAGGGCCCTTGCGCACCGAAGGTTTCCGCGGGGCCGCAGTGCCCTCTGCCGGGCCTTGGCGCGCACTCACCGGGGCAGGGGCGTTCACCACCGACAGGTTGTAGCCTAGAGGAAGGAGGAGCCCAAGGCGTCCGCGAGGGAGGCCACGAGGAGCGAGCAGGGCCAGTCCTGGGGGGAGAGGAAATCACGTCAGAGCCGGCACCGGGCGCGCAGCCAGGTCCGAGGGAAGACCTGGAACGTTCCTTCAGCTGGGGGAGGCCTTCCGGGGGAGAAGTCCTTGTCCTTGGCTGGGATGGAGGCAGAGAGAAGAGACGCACGTTGGGGGCCTGCAGACAGGGTTCCCGTCCACGTCCGCGTGCGCAGGCCGGGCGCCCTCAGGTTTAGCGGCCACGCCCTTGCCTTCCTTCCGGGTTGCGTGAGGATCCCTGAAACGCAGTTTTCAGCAGGTGCTCTGAGCAGCTCCACATGATCCTTTTAGCGAATTTGGCGAGTGTCCGACCCAGACAGAAAAATGCAAAGCCAGACTCCAAGCGCTATCAGCCAGGCGTGATTCTAAGCACTTTCTGAGCATTGTCTCTGAGTCCTTAGATCAGTGCTGTTATGTCCTGTATTACAGGTGAGGAAAGAGGAGCACGGAGCGTGGCTGGTGCTATCTGTGATGGGGACTGAAGTCCAGGTGGCCTGGCTTCAGTGCCCCTGTAGTCACCACTGCACAGTCCCCTGCTGACTCATCGCCTGAGTGCAGTGTCCAGGGGCCTGAGGTTGCTGACAACCACACAGATGTGCACACACACACACACACATGAACATACTGTTCTAGGCTGAGGTGTCAAACTACAGGGACTGGTCCAAGCCTCGGGACAAGGGCATGCAGACATAGAGATGCAAGGTTTGGCACAGAGAACAGGGCGTCTGCCTTGGTGTTGTCCTGTGCTGCAGCCCCATCTAAAGACAGCCACCACCAGGACAGGGCCACAGGGCAGAAACACCTGGATCCCTGGCAAAGGCTGACAAACTGGCACAAGCCAGGGCAGGAGGGACGGCCATCCTCAGCTGGTGGGGAAATATGGGCCAAGTGGACAGGGACCAGGTGCTCCGGAATGCACTTTCTTTGCCATCATTTGACATATTTGTGAGTGTGTGTGTTTTGTAGGCGCCAGGCCCTGACAACGCTGTGGGGATGCAGCAGTGAAGAAGACAGATGCACCCATGGTTCAGGGACCCGAATCAGTCAAATCCCATCTGGAAGGGAATGTGGGTCTCTAATGGCCACTTCCCTGCTCTGCCCGTCTCGTTTGTCTCCTCTAGTGCTACCAGCCACAAGATAGAGCTTTGGGGCTTTGAGCCAAGTGATATCAGCTTTACCTCCAGGGACGGCCCCATCAGCTGTAGGAGCCTGAGCAAGTGGCTTGACTTTTCTGGGGCTCAGCTTACCCACCTGTGAAATGGGATCTCAGTATCTGCCCTGGCTGCATATGTTGTGGAGGAGCTGCTGCAGAGGAGGCGCTCCGTAGAGGCTGCTGATCACATGTGGGGGCAACAGGGAGCACTTATAAGCCTTGGGGATGGGTGCTGCCAAGTGAAATGTAGGACCAGAATATTTTTCTACAGTGAGCGGAGCTTGAGCTGAATGGGGATCCCCAATGGAACAGATCACATTTCAGATGAAACGCCTGTTGTCTATCATTCTTTCTCTTTAAACCTATTCTCTGAGTCTTGGCACAGATACCACTTCTTCTGAGCCTCTGGACTGTGCTGAGCATCGTTTCTGTGCCCTGTGCCTTCTTTGCTCCCAGCCCCGATGACCTCAGAGGACACAGACTCCTCCCTTGTCTGCACCCCATCAGATTGGGAGCACCTGGTGTGAAGTGCCCCTGCCAGAGGCTGGTGAAGGGCAGGTGGGGGCCGTATCCTCCTGCCTCAGCTATGCTCCCCGGAGCCCTCTGCCTGTGTGGCCCGCCTGTGCCCTCCACCCCCTCCCCACTCACTGCAGGGGCAGAGGGCGCCCACTGACTGATGGTGCTACTGCCCATGCTATGCCCCAGGGAGGGTAAGAAGAGGGACACCACCATACAAGCACGGGGCAGGGCAGTCTGCCACCATAGCCTCATTGCATGTACACACCCAGCCTACCAGAGACACTGTTGGCCCAGTCAGCTGGGGCTTGGAGAGAGTATGCCAAAGTCACACAGATGGAGAAGTGCAACTCAAACTGAGGCCTCCCTGCTTCAAAGCCCCAGATCCCCCAGCCACACACTGCCAGGCTGGGGCTGAGCACTGTCACATGGCTGCCACCCAGGCCTGCCCTACCCGCAGCCCTCCAGCCATGCAGAAAAGGTGTCCGTATTTACCTTTCTTCTCCTCCCACCTGGCACCCCGCTCCTCAGGTGGTCACACTCCAGCAGTGCCCTCCCTGGCCCTGGAGGCCCGGCATGGCTGCTGTCATCTGTGAGGGGAACTAGGCCTAGTTCCTTGGACTTCATATTTTGTTTCCTTGCCAGAGGTCTCGGTGACCCAGGTGATGGCTCGGTCCAGGGACCCCAGACTCTGCCAAGGCATCTCTGTGAATGAGGAGGCAGAGTCCACTTTAAGGAGGGCGGGAGTTCCCGACAGGAAGTGTGGCAATTTGATCATGCCTGAACAGGAAACGGGGCAACATTTTTTCCCTGCTCCTAAGTTATTACAACAACAAAACAGTTCAAAAAGGGAAATCTGTCCTCTTCAGGATTACCACCCAGGGGGTGGAATTTTTTTTTTTTTTCTTATCATCTTTTTATTTTTCTCTCTTAACAAAGCCTGGAGCAGGGTGACTGCCATTAACCTAGGATACCTCCCTAATGCTTGAAACAGAATGGAGAGGTGGCTGAATTTGACTCAGAAGCCTAGATACAGCTCTGCCCCGACTCCTCCATTTTTTTTTTTTTTTTTTTTTGACCGAGTCTGTGTCTGTTACCAAGGCTGGAGTGCATTGATGCAATCTCTGCTCACTGCAACCTCCGCCACCTGGGTTCAAGCAATTCTCCTGCCTCAGCCTCCCGAGTAGCTCGGACTACAGGCCGTGCGCCACCACGCCTGGCTGATTTTTGTGTTTTTAGTAGAGACTGTGTTTCACCATGTCAGCCAGGTTGGTCTTGAACTCTTTACCTCAGGTGATCTGCTCGCCTCAGCCTCCCAAAGTGCTGGGATTACAGGCGTGAGCCACCACATCCAGCTGACTCCTCCACTTTTTAACTGTGTATTCTCAGGCAAGTCACTTTATTCCCTGAGCTGCCACTTCTACCACTGCAAAATGGAATATTGACCCCACTCTGACTGTCCTGCAGACTTATTCTGAAGCTCAAATAGAAAACAGCAAGGCCCGAGTGGCATGCTGGAAATGAGTGTGGGCTATCCTGGAGCCTAGAACAAAGGCGAGGGCTGTGGGTTTGGAAGAGAAAGAATTCGCCTCTTAGTCATTACTCTGTCCTGCTCATTCAGCACTGGCTGAGAGGATATGTCCTGTGTGCCAGCCCCAGGCTGGCTCAAGGACAGTATTGAGAAGGTGAGGACCTCATGCACGCCAGGAGGTTGTAGGAATCAATTCATCACATGGCCATGTTGCCTCAGATGCCAGAGAAGCACCTTCAATTTTGGCTAGGACAGTTCGTTACCAGAAGCAGAGAGCAGTGCAGAGGCTGGGCCAGAGCCAGGGACAGGCTTGGTGAATGCACAGTGTCTAGGAGGCAAGGTGGGGCTCAGTCCACAAAAGAGAGACCAAAAAGTTAGCAAAGTACGTTTAGCAAAAAGCACACACTAAAATAAAATGTGTGGAGTACAGCAGACATGCCAGGAACCTGGAATGCGAAACGCACACAGAAACATCCAGCCCTGACATGCACGGTGGTGGGAATGTGGCTGCTCAAAGCAAGTGGGGAACCAAGACTTGCAAAAAGGAAAACGCCCCTCAGGAGTTAGGCTGGGGATGCATTGAGCACACCAGTCATTCAGTGCAATCGTCCTTCTCCGTATTAATCTGTCAGGCACGCCCCTGGGAGAAGCGGCTGTTTCTTGAACTGGATTTCAGCCATGCAGCCTGGTTTCCTCATTGAGTGGTGGGCCTAGAGCAGCGTTCTGATGACCTAAAAAGGCAGGATTCCCTAGGACAGCATGGAGGAGGCACCACACCAATCTCAGCTGAATCTCGGAGACCCCCTGGAGGAGGCGGCTTCTGAGCAGATGGAAAAGGATATGGGGTGAGAGGGCAAGGAGCCAAGGCCTGCAGGCACAGATGCCTACAGTGTGTGGGAGGAAGTGAAATTGTCAGTGGAGCATGGTTGGGGCCTGAAGTGCAGGAGATGGGCAGAGGAGGGGCAGGGACAGCCGCATCCCCTGTGCATGGAGGGCCCCTCTGCCCCTATGCTGTCCTGATGGGGACTGCATTTTCATCACCTCGTTTACCCCTCCTCATCCCGTTGCTGTGACTCCCCTCTCTATACCCTCCCTGTTTCCTCATCTGTAACAGTGGGGACCTCACCAGATTTTGCTAAAGTGCAAATTGGATCAGGTGACCCCTCATCCCGTTAAAAATTGCTTCGTAGTTCTCTGTTGGGATTGAAAATTCAAAAGGCACCAGAAATTAGGCAGTTGACATGAATGTGTAACTACAGCTGGACAGAAAGTAAGAGAGGGGGGATGGGTCCCTCCCGGACCCAGATGGCAGCTAACCAGGGCTCCTGGTAGCCAGAGCACCTGCCTCACCTTCAGCTCATATTACACATGCACAGGACTTTCCCAGGTGTGTTCACATTCATGATACCATCCAGTCCTCAGAGGAACTATTAGACCTACATTTTGGTGCAACAACTGAAGTTCAGGGGGAGCATGCAGGAGCCCGCCTCCAAAGCCAGGACCGGCTCCCCATTCCACAGGGCCAGCAGCCCCGCACTCCAGGCAACTGCTAAGGAAGCAACTCCTGTCACAGATGAAGTCGTAAGACAAACATCCCCAGATGTTCTGGGCTGGGTCACGTTCCGCCTGCTCTGACACTCATCGGTTCCTTCATTCGCTCATAACTTGCCTGTCTTTATGAAGTTCCTACTCATTCAGGTTCTCCTGACCTTGCTCAGGCCCTCCCTTCTGACTGCCCTGAACTGTGCTCACCCTTCAGCACTTAACTCCCTCACCACCTCCTCCCAGCAGCCTCCCCAACCTCTTGCTGCCTCTGTGCTCCACGTGCGCTGCTCACACGTGCCTTCCCCTCTGCACAGGAGCTCACCGCGGGCAGGGATAGTGTGCGTCTCAATGGGCTGATTGTGTCCCCCCAGATTCACATGTTGAAGTCCTCACCTCAAGCACCTTACAATGTGACTGTATTTGGAGATAGGGTTTTTGAAGAGGTAATTAAGGTTAAATGAGGTCATGTGTATGGGGCTGTATTCCGGTATGTGTGGTGTCCTTATAGGTAGAGGAAATGAGGACACAGACACACACAGAGGGATGACCACATGAGGGTGCAGGGAGAAGGCAGCCACTTACGCCAAGAAGGGAGGCTTCAGAAGGAAGTAACCTGCTGACACTTTGAGCTTGGACTTCTGGCTTCCAAGACTGTGAGACAATACATTTCTGTTGTTTAAGCTGCCCAGCCTGTGGGACTTTGTCATGGC